TTTAACGCCTAATTATTTTTTTGTTAAAAATTCTATGAAAGTTGATAATTTCGATTTTTAAACTTTTAACTGTAGTCAGTTATAGGTGGATAGTCAAGAATTAGCTTACATTGACAGCCTTTTCTCAGAATGAACAAAAGTTTGAAGATGAAGAGACTTTTTTCTCTAAAATGTTATTATGTCGAGGAGTATGAGTTTAAAATCAACATTCCTTTTGAAAAACAGTCCAGTGAAACTGATGTCTTCATAGTTGTATTTTCTAATTTATATCCCATTGCCAATGGCATGTGGAAAATTGTGTGAAAAACCCATCTTGATCGATCAAATAATAGTCTTTAGAGATATTCGGAGGTCTCAATTAACTCTGTAATGTGAGTGAATGTCATTCTGACCCTGCACTGTCCATGGGAATCGTTTGGTATATGATTCTTGATGACAGACTCTATGATCCCACTTTATTGTTGGGAATATTCTGTTTGATTTCAAGTACTGGTTTTATGCTTAAACTGAAATGTATGGATAGCTGACTAACATCACTGTTGAGGTAATTTCAAATTCTTGATGTTATTATTGTTCAAGAGAACCACAAACTACTGAAGAAGAATAACAGTCTTTTTCCTGTCTTTAGAGCGTTCTGTGACTGTTGGTTTTTCAAGGAAGCCTAGTTGGTTAGACAACAGGAGGTATCAGTTGGTTTTCTGGTTTTATTCTCTACACCAACAACCTTATGGCATATTCTATCTGATTATGCATATAATAATTTTCACACTACAATAAATCTTGAAATGATGGAGGTTCTTACCGCATTGATGCATCCTCTCTGTCTTGTTTTACTCACTCTGAACACAAAATAAGGTTAGCGTTAGTTACAAGATTTCATCATGAGCACAGATTGGTTAAAGAACCATTGAAAAACAAGCTTAAGACTCTTCATCAGTAAGCACACACCAAAAGGGTTCGAACCCAGGACCTTCTGGTTACAAGGCTATCTAGCTCGTATACCATCTAGGCCCGTAACGGGATCCAATGGTCAGCCCATGAATTATAACTTCTTCCAATACATGACATAGTGCGACCACTTCACAATGTCTTCTTCAATGAGTAACTGTCCCCACCTTCAACTTTTTGTACCCTACTGATCACGGCTTCCCACTCGAACTCCAAGCTAACTTGTTGAATAGGGCCAGTCGTCAGTGAGCATCTCATTGATTTTCAAGTATTGGCACCGCAAGGTAGTGTCTAGAAAGACACTTAAAGCTTCCCGCTTAGCGTAGGCAGGAAATGATGATTTCTGGTGCTTAAATACTGGAATTACAAGTTTCCGCTCACAAATGTCTGTGATAAGTTCCAATATCCCTTTTTCCATTTCTCGCGTTCCCAAGGCAACATACGGCATCACGCTTGAATTTCAGTAGCGATAGTGGCGTTGTTTTTAAAGGCTGGATTTACCAACCTCATGTCCAGCCTTCCCTCTTTTCTGGCCTCTATACTGTCTAGTAAACTAGGTTAGATTCTTGATTGCATCGATCGGTAATAGTTTCTGAAGGTCCTGAGTAACTGTCGAGCAATCTGACATTAAATAAATAGTCTGTGATAAGCTTAAATCTCCTTTCAATGAAATAATAATTAAATTCTCAGCATCCTAACATGAAACGGAAGTGCAGATCTCAGTTTGAGTAAAGCAAGAACAATAGCTTTCGCAGAATAAGGTGTTATCATCATTCATTCCGTTGGGTTTTCATCAGCGGCTTACGCACCAAAATATTATTAAGTATATCTACAAAAACAACTTTAAATTACCCTCAGAGAGTTTATTTTTAAATGAAAATCAATCGATATATGCATACAATGGTAATGATAATAATAATTATAATCACTTTATCCTAAACAACAGATATCATCATGCAGAATGAAAACTTTCGGCGTTACGCAAAAAAAACGAAAGAAAGGATGAAAATATCCAGTTACCAGGACAAGGAAAGACTGATAACCGTTTCTTTTAGAGCTCATAAACCGGGTTTCAGGTGCTTGATAGAGAAAGAATTACAGTTTGCTCACTTATTCAAGAAGTGGGTTTCGTATTCACCCAGCGACTATCTACGTAGACTAAAACTCCTCATGAAATGGACTAATGCAGGAGATCAGCTGTGGACAAGAACATCTAAATGATAACTTAACTACTATAGAGCTTGATGATGAGGATCCAAATTTTCGAAGTGGTGACAGTTATTCCAGGGGTGGAGGTATGCCATACCGAATTGTTCCAATTAGCATGAAGCTCAATTCAGAGCTTCTTAATGTTCGAGTATATTCAATTTGTAATACGTCATGTGATTAGTAATGCTTGGTAGTCGAAATTCCCAGTAGTTATATAAGCATAGAATAATGGAGACACCGAACAACAGAGCCAGGAATTTATGTTCTCTCAACAAGGTGGAAGAAGAATTAGGCTTTGTTGAGAAATGCCCAAGGGAAAATGGGTACCGGAAGAGATTTAGCGAAACGCATATCAAAGAAAAACATGAGAAAATTAAACATCCAACCGTTGAAAAGAAGAAAGTATTTATTGGTTCTCTATTAAGGGAGAAGCAGTATCACAAAAGATTAACGAGAGAATGAAAAGAGCTATAAAAAGATGGTTCCCTGCAGATAAGCTTATAACACTATACACCATCACATACTTTACTAGCCAGTCTAAACCGGGTAAGTACCTTGCTCCTGTCACCTCAAATCGCATTTATAAACTGACGTATATTGGAAGGACAGGTTTTCTAAGCGTATCCCAAGAAAAGTATGCCTAAAAAGAAGCAGATGATCGCAAAGTGCAACCATCAGCCAGTTATTTCGTAGAGATTTCCGAATATTTAACAATATTAAACATACAAAGTACAGAAAAAATGTAAAGTGACTTGAGGAAACAATTTCAGTCAAACTGTTCAAAACAAACATTTGGGAACAAAAAGAGTCTGTGATAAATCTCTCACTACCTTGGTTGCCCCATTTCGATTGAAATGATTAGTCATCCAGGTTTATGATTTCAGCTAACTGAGCGAATTTCAATATTCCATTATGGGTAAATTTTTGTTTTGATAAAGTCTCACAGTGTTATTATACAGTAATGTTTGCTGATGACATTTCGAGCACAATTTATTGCTCATAATCACCTTGATATGATTGTGAGCAGTAAATTGTGCTCGAAACGTCATCAGTAAACATTACTGTATAATAACACTGTGAGACTTTATCAAAACAAAAATTTACCCATAATGGAATTATACTCTACCACAGTGCACAAGTTTTATTCTTATATCGAATTTCAATATCATGAACTATAATCAACCTTCTTGAGCTGCCAGGTGAACTTGTAAGTTTTACACTATTTATTAGATTTTTCTTTTTTACGAGTTGACCACGGATTGATATCAGTTAGGGAACCATTGAAAACCAGGAAGTACTGGACAGTTATTTTATCCTAGTTGTGGGAATCGTCGGCAAAACACACACAGTGGGGTTCGAACCCAGGACCTTCCGGTTTTTTCTTCTTTTCCACCCTTATTTATTCTATCTTCAAATGTGTTGATTTTATGTTATTTTCTCGATTAGCACTCAAACATTGAAGTATCGTATTGTCATTATTTAAAGCCATTGTAATTTCAGGTAGTTTACAATCATATGATGAAGCAAACCTGTGAGATAGAAAAATGCCATCATTTTATACTGAAAATTTCGTCTTACTTTCTTTATTGAAGTTTATCTAAAGAACCCATTGTGTAAAAATATGTAGTTTAGGCTTGATAATCACTACTAACACTTTAATGGGACAAAATGTTTGTTTTAACTTGTTTCATTCAGAAAGGGTAACAACCTGTTCATTTACATGTATTTAAGGTAACACGAAGACGAGAGTAAAACAAGGCTGGCTGCCTACGATCTCTAATGACTTTCCTGATTGCGGTAGACTGGATAGTGTGACGGACAGCAGGCAGTGAGGAAACAGGCATAAAATCAACCCACACAAAAACCTCGGAGGATCTGGACTTCGCCGGTGATGTGTATATGACTGATTTCCCACAAACTGGAAGATATGCAATTGAAAAGCAACAAGTTGGTGATAGAAGAATCATCAAAAATAGACCTTCAGTTGAACATAGAGAAAACAGAGGTGATGAAGATTCCTGTCCAACAGCAACAACAACAACAGACAACAATCAGCATAAATGAGAGGAACCTGGAAGAAACAACCTCCTTTACCTACCTACCTACCTAGGAAGCATCATTTCAGCAACAGGTGGACGGAACTGATGAGGATATTAAAACAAGGATCGGGAAAGCAAGGCAAGCTTTCATCACTCTTAAATCTGTGTGGAGGTCAACAGCACTCAGCATCAAAAATAAGACCTGGATTTTCAACTTCAATGTAAAGTCAGTGATACTTTATGGATCAGAGACTTGGTGCGTCATGAAAAGCACCTCAGACAAACTACACACTTCATTAAACAACTGTATTCACTCAATACTCGAGATAAGATGGCTGGCCAGAAAAGATCATTAACAGGGATCTCTGGTAATAAACAAACCAACCACCAACCAATTGTGCAACGACTATGCAGAAAGAAATGGAGGTTGATTGGGCATACTTTGCGAAAACAAACCATCAAGTGACTGAATTCATATGCCAGGCCATCACTCGAGTGGAACTCGAATGGGAAAGCCACGAGTTGGTTGTCAGTGAGAGGGTGACATGAAGTGGAGGAGGTCATGCGAAGAGGAGATGAAAGCATATGGGCAGACGTGGAGCCGGGTGAAAACTTTGTTGGAGAACCGAACGCACTAAAGATGTGAAGCTGATGCCCTATGCTCCTCTAGGAACTAAAGGAAATAATAATAACAATAAGGTATAGTAAGTAGCAACTTTCTGGCTCTATTCAAGAAACAAGTATATCAGATAAGAAACCAAAAGAGAAATAGATTAGTACAACAATGAGTTAATTTCAACTTACATATAATGATCGTACACTTGTTGTCAGGATTTGATCCATTTCATCTAAATCTAATATTTGTAATAATTCCAAACCAAATTCTACAGTAATTTGTTGTGCTACTTGTGTTGGTGTTAAATATACCTCAGGAGTTAATCCATCAACAACAGGTCTTGATTGTTTTTCATAATCGTGTAGTAAATCTTTAATTAATCGTTTTTCAGCCCAGTCGGTCATTTTAGTTGTACTTGATTTCCAATTGAAGTTAAGATTTGAATGAGAATAATCATACTGAGTCGATCGATCACCACTGTTAACATCGCTGTCATCATCAGCATCAAGATCATTTTCAAGTAGAAGTGTGTGATATGATCTAGTGTAGTAAGAGGTTTGATTTGAATGATTCATATTTCGAGTTTTATTATTAAAGATTGAATGATTCGTTTATTGCTAGTATACACTTGATTGAGAAGGAGTAGACTGTAGGTGCATAATGACAATAGAAAGAACATTTTTGTTTTATCCAATCCTCTCTTTTATTTTTTGTTCATATTGTTTGATTATCTGAAAGACAGACAAAATAAAAACAGTGTATAGTTATAAGGGATCTTTGCAAGGACTGAATGACGAGCCAAGTAAAGTACCAAGTCACATCATCCTGCAGAAAATAAAAGCTGCAATGGATGCAGAACTCGGCTGCCCACTCGGAACAAGTTGGATTCAGGAAGGGCGAATAGTGTGCTGATCAAATTGCAACTTTACGCACCTTTATTTCAGAACAAAGCATAGAATGGAAGTCAAACCCCTGTCTGCCTCAAATTCATCGACTTCGAAAAGGTCTTCACCAGACAGCGTCGACCGAGAAGTAAATTATGATCTATGGCGTGCAGTGCTCAAGACCTTATCAACCTCTTTCAACGGCTGGCTATATGGCAATGCCACGTGTCAGGTGGTTCACGACGGATAACTCAGCGAGGTGTTCGATGTTAATAAGGAGTAAGGCAAGGCTGAGTGCCTATTATCACCGATGGTATTACTAACTGTGATGGACTACACGTGTGTCAGACTACGCTTAAGAGTGAAAAGACAGGAATACGCTGGACTGATAAAAAGACTTAGAAGATCTGGATATTACTTGTGGTTGATTTATTTTTAGTGTCACACAAATTCGAAGGCTTGCAGGCAGATGAGAATCGACAAAATACTGGAAAACTAGCCATCAAAGACAGGACTTTACGTGAACATTGAGACGATGGAGTTGATAAAAATAACCAACCAACTAACTAACAGCAACAACAACAACAACAACCGGCACCAATCACTATCAACGGGATAGATTTAACAGAGATTACCTCCTGCATTTATCTAGGAAGCATCTTATCGACTACAGGCAGTCGAACGGATCAAGATGTCAAGCCAGCCAGAATTGAAAAGGCAAGAAATACCTTCATCAACCTGAAACTAGTTTTGAAATCTTCTGCACTGACTCAGCACAAAGAACAAGATTTGGATTTTGAACAACAATGTGAAGTCAGTCACTTCTTTTATACGTGTCAAAAACTTGCACTACGCGTCACGAAAAGGACATTCACCAAGTTACAGACTTTTATCAGCAGCTGACCACTTCAATGACTGCATACTAAAGATCACATGGCTGGCCAGTCAGAATGAGTTAGCAAAATGAAATTTTGGCTGAAAACAAACCAAACAAGGGCCGACTGCTTAACAAATATGTAGGAGAAAATCCAGATAGATGAATTGTACATAATTGAGGGAATGTCGAATAGCTTCTCATGCAGTGCAAGCCATCGGTTGAGTGGAATCCCAATGGGAAGCGATGAGTGGTCGTCAGTGCAAAGGTGACGTGGAGGAGATCGTGTGAGTTGGGATAGGAGATTAGAGTTTATGAGCAGTCGTGGAATAAGACAGCTGAAGACAACAGCAGAGAATAGAAGAAAGTGCAGATGTGTTGATGAAGCCGTATGTTCCACTCGGAACTCAAGGGAATGTTAGTAATGTAATAATACATACTACTACTGTCAGAACATGCTAGATAGCCAGACTGTCGAAGTGGTCTAAACACCGGGTGGTCATTTCACTCATTTAAAGCATAGCACATCAGCGGGATAGCCAGTTTGACTTAGCTCAGATAGCCGAATCAGTTCCGACAAGCTATTCAGACAAATGGTAATAACTTAGATCGAATTTGTAATCTGTAAAATGATTTGCAATTTACACAGTTTGAAGAGGTAGGAATTCAACATGGCTTCCTTTCAAAGCAAAATTATTCGTGTCAACACATATGTCGTCTACTTGACACCATAAATGGCAATCAAGAAAGTACTCATAAATCCACAAAGTTATATACTGCTGATTGACAGTGATGATCAGTTGAATACCAACTCCTCGAACTAGACAAACTGAGAATTGCAGATTCGATTATTTCTGTTTGAGACTCCAGCTTTTAGTTTTGTGCCGCAGGTGTTTACCAAAACGACGGAGATAATTACAATGCTAGTGGACTGCTAAGAATATTTGAAGTGTAAATTTTCAGAATACATTAGTACACTGTAGCACACTAGAGTTCTTCCATAAGGAGCAGTATGATGATGTCAGTTTTTAGTTGTTTCTATCAGCAGTGATTCTGTTATCGAAGTGAATATAACACTTCTCTGATAGCACACAACATAGGTGACTTTAATGGGATGAATTATATGCAGTCTGGTTTATTGTATAGTACTTATTGTATTATTAAGAGAAAGAACATCCGGAGAACCAAAAATTGAATGCTTGGCTGGGTTTTTTGAAGATACAGAACTTTTTACCGTATAGCTAATACAATCGAGTAGTTAGATGGATTTGAAAGCTGAGGATAATCCGACGGTTAACTTTGCACAAGGACACGCCCTAAAGGATTTGCATAGTGAAGTTCTACAAAGTTTTCTGATAATCCATGAGTTCACGAAAGCTGAAACAGTTCACAATAGCTACGACATCCCACAAAAATCATGTTGGAGAATGTACACAAACAAATCGAACTGCAAAAATAAATACTGCGAAAGTTTACACAGATGTCGAATATAATTGTGAGACGTAATTAAGCATATTATTTTATGCAAGAAGGAATGTGGAATAAAATGTCCAAACTGGCTTTTTACACAGAGTTTAAATGTTATATACACAAATGCCTTAGTTTTAATATCACACGAATTAGGAATATTAGTTTTCATAATGACACATTGCCGTCTGATGTGAAACAAAAATCATTCCCTCACAATACCTCTCCATTCCCTCTTTCAAGAAATGCATATCATTTGTTTGAAAGCCAATTTAGAAAAGTGTAAATGTGCATTTGGTGACCCAACGAAAATAAATGAAAAATTAAAGACAGTAGGTAGTTAGTTTTATTTCTCAGGCACTAAAATTCTCAGTGACATTATCTCATGTAATGGAATACATTACTTCTTGTCAGTTTAGTCGAAACTTACCAGCTAACAGGTTGTAAGCATTTTAAGTACTTGCAAGTGTAACTAACCCCATGAGAGATCATATTTTAACAGATTGAAACAAACAAATGAAGAAGAGAAATTATGAGCAATGTATTGATATTGTCTTTCGTAGCCTAAGTTTTAAACAGACCGCTCTAGGATACTACTACTTCTTTCAGTATTACTAAAAACACGACTACTTATCTTACCAATTTGATGCAAACATGTTTCACGTTGAAGCGTAAACTTAGATCGCAATGTAGTCAGCTGAATTCACAACCAGTTTGATGCGAAACGGACGATTACGTATTACCAGCTTATATGACAAAAGAGTAAAGTCTTAGGAGACCGTAAGGTACATATTTATGCATACCGGAATTCCCTTTTATAAATCCGAATAGAAATCAAATAAGCATTGATGAAAAAATAATACAGACCCATAGAATTTCGTCGGCTCTCATCAACTGTGTACAACCTATAACATTTAATAAAACAGGTTATAACAGCTAGAATGATAAAACCGTTTGAAATAGATATAGCACACAAGCCAGCCAGCACAATCAATTCATTAGACATTGTGCGAACCAAAAGATCTTACAGAAAAATAAAATAAAATTAATACTATTTCCAAAATAAACTGTATGAACTGCAATAAACATTATACAGGTGGTCGAACACATATTGGCTGTAAAAATACATGATATATATTCTTTCTTATAAATGCATGTAGATACTTACAGACACCAACTTGATTGGGATAATGTAGAAATTTTAAATTGAGGAGACACCCGACAGTAATCCCAGGGAATTTCTAGAAGCCTGCTTGTACTCGAGTGAATCAGCCAGCGAATAAAAAACACACTATTATAGATGAAGTTTACGAGTTAATAAAAAGTAAAGTGGCAATACAAGAATGTTTGGATTCCAAGTCAATAAAAATGATCAGTACAAATGTAAATCGACTACCAGTCACGAAGAGGAATTCCAGTTAGACATAATTATTTCATTCATGGAGAATTTAAACGAGTTCATTTATACTATAACCTGTACTGTAGGAAGATATCGTCTAGGTAGAGGACAACGAAAGCTTCGCAATTAAATCAACCAACTCCTTAGAGAACACAACTAATTCAATCTGGACACACATTTTCTGCTTATCACCATGAATCAGTCTTTCAGTAAAGATTGTTGTAAAAAACTCATAGTGGAACAAAACATAAAGGATGATAGGATTATGTTAAGTTATCAGAGAATACATGTATGCACATTTTATAAAAGTGAAGTTTCTCTTAAAAATGAAATTTGTTGTAATAGAGAGCCGATAAGTCAGTGACATTTGCGTAACCAGGACGCATAAGATTGGAAAATCAAAATGTAGGGTGAACACAGTCGAATGAAAAGTTAATGATTCATACAGTAAGTAGAATTCAAAGGAAGATTGATCCATACTAAACAAAATGTATGTCGTAACTTTCACATAACTTGTTTAGTTAATTATTATAGGCCGTACGAAGCTGATGACAACAGACGAAATTAGACAGATCCATATTATTGTACATCAGTCTTTGTACTATTTTAACGTAATGGTTTTTTACGAATTTTGTTTGGTAGGTTGCAGGATTTCATCATGAGCTGACATCAGTTAGAGAACCATTGGAAAACCACCAAGGAGTACTGGACAGCCAACTGTTTCGTCAGATTAGTTTGAGACTCTTCGGTAGTACGCACCCACCGCCAGTATTCCAACTCACGACCCCCTCGTTATAAGGCTAGCTAGCTCGTAGACCATTGAGCCACTGGGACCCGATCCAATGGCCAGTCCATGATTTCTAACTTCTGCCAATTCACGACATAGTGCGACCACTTTCCAATGTCTTCTTCGATAAGTTACTATCCCCACCTTCAACCTGTGTACCCTGC